TTATTTATTTATTTATTTATTTATTTGTTTATGTTTATGTTTATGTTTATATTTCAAATTTAGATACCACCCATCTCCTGAAAAGTGACTCTGGGTGGTTAGATATAGATAAATAGTCAGTATAATTGGACTTTTAATTTTGAAACCATAATCACTCCTTATGTATTATCCTTCCTTATATATTACATCACTACATTTTTCTCTAGGTATAATAATATTAATTACAACTTTTCCATAGTTTTCAGTATTATTATTATGGTTCTATATATTTCAAATTGGTAATTTTACTATTCTGTTATTCTAAACAATCATTTAGTTGCCTTACATAAATTGTATCATACTTTATTAATTTTTACACCCTAAATTCTTAAACTTTAACTTACAATTTTACTTGTATTGTTATATGATTTTATAGCTTGTTTTACTCTAATCAATTGTGACTCTTGTTTTGTTTTGCTGGTCAGTGACTGAAATGAAATGACTGACTGACTAAAAGAACTGTGTTTCTTTCTTCTCCCAATAAAGATAAGAAAAGCGATCACAGTAGTCACCTTGTTGGATCAGGCCAGGCCAATTTCCCTTACATAGATGAGGACTGAAAACAGAAATTAAACATCACAGCCATCTCTTGCTTGTAGTCAGTTCATGCTGCCATTGATAGGGCTCTTTTACAAGTAACAAGTATATTATTGAGGCCATTTTATAAATAATGGCTTTTGTTTTTCTCACAAAAAGTTTATATGAGGATGTAATACGAGTTGGAACTTGAAGATTGTGACATCTGTTAGTTTAGGAGATCCATCAGGGAAAGGGCCATGTCAGCTTTTGAGAAGCATGTTGAGGATTACACTGTACGCTAAAAGTTGCAGAGTAATTTTACCAGTTGATGTATACAACCTGTCCTAACATGAATTAGGATTTGGGACTTGACATAAAGTTTTCCATATATACATACTTATACTTAAAATATTTAATTATGAGTTAATGAAAATATACTCTGGGGCTATAACAATGTACTCTGCATAAATATCCTGCTTTAGAGTAAACCTTGAAGGTACAGATTTATGAATGTGTCACCATCTTTTGTTTTTTGTCTTTGTTTTAAATTCAGGCAGACAATAGGTTTGAAAGTATTTGGGGCACAAGGGAAAAAGTTGTGGCATATGGTTTTGATTACTGCTATTGGTCAATCGATCCTGAGGATCCAAAATATGCATCTCAGGAAGTGGTGAGTATCGATAATTTCAGTTCCTCTCTCCATTTCATAATTTGTATTTTTGTTCTTGGAAACCAGCAAAAAATAGCTGCTTACAAATTAAATAACACTATCAATTAGCAATTTGTCCTTTTTTTTTTTAATTGTCAGTTTTAATACTCAAAGATAGGGAGTCCCTCACCACTTGCTTTGCTGACCATAATTGGGCAGACTCAATAAAGATAATGGAGTAAGACTTCTTTGCCTCCATCACTACATAAAGTGGGGCCCAATAATAGGGTCTCTTTTGCATTTGAATGCAATCATTGTATGTTTTCTATGTCATGCTATAGATGTTGACCCAATTGTTTTATAGTACTCAGTTCTTCAGAATGCCAAGATGCCAAGCCTATTCTAAGATTTGGTTAAAAGCATTTCCAAGTAGCACTCAAAATAAATACCAGCTGAAAGTGCCGAGAACTTCCTCAGGAAGATAATTTTTCATCTGCGTCTGAAGTGAAACTGTACAAACCTGTTTCCCATTCTTGCATAAGTTGTAGGCAGCAAGAGAAGGTCAAGTTCATCAGGCAGTGATCTGTCCAAGCCAGAAGAATTAGGTGGGGAAGTGCTCTGCATACTGCCTTGAGCTTCTGGAGGAAATGTGGGATATAAAGAAATAAACAAACTGGACAAGGCTGGTCTATTGGGAAGTGGAATCCCAATAGATTAGACCCTCCTCCACTTTCCTGTACCCTAAAAAAATGTTCACATCTGGGAGACATTCATACATATCCTTTCGGCCAAACTAATTTCAATACTGCAAGTCAGTTGGCATATTTTTCCAAGATAACAAAAAAAATGTATGACATTCTCTTATCTGATCTAGCATTACCACCAGCACCACAAATATGACAGAGTGGAACAGAATGGTCTGTAACATGAAAACATCTAATCTTTTCCCTCACATATTGCATCCTATTGTTGTACCCAATTTAGGCTTGTGGTGTATTAGCTCATTTTCTTTAGACTTCACCCATATAGCTCCTTGGGGAATTGAGTTTTCTGCCTTCTGCTGGAAATCATCAATTGCCTGTTTTCTAAGGAATCTCTGATCACAGAGGGACTGATAATCTTCTGTCCATTGAACGGGTATTATCAGTTTCACATTGTTTGTATTCATCATTGGCAACAAGAGACTTCCACCCACTGAATAGAGACTGCCAGTTTCCTTACCCCTGGGATTATCTTACACTCCCATTCACACACACTCCATTTCATCTAGCATGGTCATGCCCCATACAAATCCACTCATGTTCTTTGAGTAAGCTGTAAACATAAGGACTAGGAATCAGACCAAATTTAGCTCCTTGTTGCCTCTTTATTTAACTGGATAAGAGTCCACAAAATTGAGCTTTTAAAATTTGGTAAACGATTACAAAGCTCAACATTCTAACCTAAAGGAAGGTAGAGGGAAAGAGGGGAAGCAGAGAGGGGAGTAGGGAATATGGGGAAATATCTCTAAAGATGTTTCTGAGGTAGAGTTGCTTTCTTCATTCTGATGTCAAATTCTCACTCTCAGTGGCAAAGTCATGTCAATCTCTTGGAGGAGTATATGAAGGAGGGGCGCAGGGAAAAGTGAAAACCAATGGACCAGTTCAACCAATGGGACTCATGTTCTTTCTTCACCTTCCTGTTTGCATTTTCCCTTTTAACCCAAAAAGAACACCATGATTCAAACCCTTCCCTCTCACTGGTCCTCCATCCTGCTTCTTCCCATGTGGAGTGACCTTTTTTCCTCTTTCAGAACTCCATCTTTCTCCCTGTGTAAGCACATGTCTGCTTCTGGTTAGCAACTTCCTGCTTTAAGTTGTTGTGGTTAGTTTGTATCCTGTTAGGTACCTGCCAAGTCTAAAGGAGGCACAAGGGAGACAAGATAAGGGACTTTGCACAATTACGTCAAAGGAAAGCAGGAATCAATGCTTCTGGTATGGCTTTAGTGTATAGATTACTACTACATGAGGTTGCTACTGGATATGTCATTTGAGTGATATCAGCTGCAAATCAGAATCAACTTTCTTCAAATAACAAAAATATTCTGGATGGTTTTCGTCAACCTTAGAGAAAACATATTTTTCCCTCTCCTTCACTTCTTCAGATGGAACATCCATTCCAGCAGATACAGAATCCAGAGATGCTGATTGCCCATCATTCTTCTTACCTCTCAGCTCACATTTCACATTCACATGCCAGTGCTGTGGGATGAAGCATAATAATTTGACAGAATTAAAGATTATTGGAAAATTGTATTATATGGAAAATTATATTACAACATAAAATCAAATGATTTCCAAAAGCTACCCACTGACATCAGTTTCTATAATAATGGCCTGCCCCACTTCCAATAACTATTACTTGCTGTTTATTTATATGTGCGATGCAAGGAGACCATGAAGGAGGAAGACAAATTGCTTACCTGTGACTGTGGTTCTTTGAACTGTCATTATTCAAATAATTCACCTTGGCCTCAGTGTAACCTACAGATGTTCTGTTAGTATTAGTTCGAAGAACAGAGGTAGAGCTTACTTGCTTTTGACCATGTTAGTGGAGGATAACTTTGGAATCTGCCAATAATCTCCACTTTAGAACATTCCAACAGTAGTCTGTGCAAGTACAGGAAAATATATGAGCGTTATGTGCATGGATGACTGCTTGAAGAACCACAGTTAGAGGCAAGCAGTCTACCCTGTTTTTTAAAGCAAGGAAACGTGTACCATTCCTGCAAGCCATTAATAATAAATACTTTTCCATATGGCCAGTTCTCCTTGGCCAATTTAATCAGTGAGAAGCCATGAAGAAGTTAACAGGTGATATATTTGATCAGTGTAATACTGTATAAGTTATTTACTGTAAAGGGAAAAAGAAACGGAATTGGCATATTATGAACTATTGTTAATATTATATCTGTATTTCATATTCAAAAGAAATACTAGAATCAAAAGTCTTTTTAAAATAATATGACTCGGTAACTTACCCAACTACCACTTAACCTTTGCCATCATCATTAAATTGGCTGAAGCTTTTCTGATTAATATGAAACAAGAATAAATTTTTTGTGAAAGCATGGACAAGATTGCCAAATTAAGTACCTATGTATTGACAAGAATATCTTATCTTATGTAAATATATTACTTTAAAAAGCCTCATTTTGACATCAGAGAAATCAAAAAGTCTGTTTCTGGAGTAATCTGAATACTATGTAGTCAGCAGGATGGAGCTCAGTCAAGGGAGCTGATTATTTAGTCTTCTGTGTAAAATACTTCTTTGGTATTTTAATGCTATTTGTGACAGTATATTGTGTAATTTATGAAGCCGTATTATCTATCAGTAGTTTGCACACTCTATACCAAGGTACTGGGAATTCCAGAATGAAGGTATGGTTTGAAACATTTCATTATATTATGAAAATTATAAACTCTTGTTAACATTTAAGAAAATATCTTAAAACATTGTTAAAGTGCATTTCCCCCCAAAAAGGATTCTTCTCCTTTTCTTTTCAGCTGAGAATAGAAAAGCGAAATCCAAGCCATCTGTTTAACAGATTATATTGTTTGCATGGATGTGATATTTTCCATTATGATGCTTTGTTAGAACTTTTTTCACCCTAGGGATAGAAGTGAATATTGTTGAAACTAGGAACATGATATGCTGCACATGAGATTTAAATAGTTTTTTTAAATTAAAAATTCATTAAAGATAGCTTCCAAATAAAGTTCTTGTGCTTTTAAAAATGCTTTTTACAAAACTATTTGAAAGTTTAAATAAATAAAAAAAATTTAAGAAAGAAAATAATTAAAAATAGAAAGATAGCTTTAGAAAAGGAATCAAAATATTAATTGGCTGACAGAGACAACTAAAAGACTCATAGAGTTGATCACTAGGGCCCATGGGATAGTGACCAACTTAGAAAGTGCTGTAGATTGTTCAAAACAGTTAAGTATTATGATATGTTTATTAGAAAGTATGAGCCATGGATTGTGAATAATGATCAGCTGATTATAATGAACATAAAACAGATTTGGAACACCAGAAATTAGGTTTTAGAAGGGTGGGGGAATTGGTGTAATTCATAATGAGTATGAAGCAAGGCTCTTTATTCAGTACAAATTCAAAATCCTTTTTATATTCAGTAAAGTCAGTACTAAGAAATTGGTAGAAATTATATGTAAGTACATTTAGGGTAGGAACAGAGCCAGAGGATGTAACTAATTTATAATAAATTAGGCTGAACATGATGGTAGTTGATAGTAGGAAAGTGTAAAATTTTGTGGCTTGATAATGACTTTCTGTTCTGGAATAATTGCTTCTGGAAAACAACAAATCACTCTAGAATAGCAAGATAGCTACTTTGGGAGAAGACCCACATGTTTCAGGAGATACCAGAACACTCCACTGCAGTCTGGACTGGAGTTTTGCATGCAGCTATTAAATAGTACTTAAATTATATATTGTCTGGCTCAAGCTCCTGATTTTATTGAATTGAAAGCACATAGTGGCCCAGTCTGGACTGGGAGCATTGTGTATAGAATGGAAATCTAACCCATTTGATGGTATCTTTCTTCCTCTTTGTATAGTTACATTACAATAAAAACAACTGATTTGGCCCAGTTGTTTTAATCCCATAGCTGAGTAGGGAGATTTAAAAAAAAAAATTGCCTGGATAGAAGAATTAGATTTCTTTTTCCAGTGAGCGGGGTCCCAGCCCATACTGAGTCAGTATGTGCATATAAGCAAGCAAACCAACAAGCAAAAATGTAGTCTTTGAGATTTGTTGGGAACCAGGAGTTGTGGGATGAAATCAGTTGTAAAGATGAAAAACAAAACTGGAAGCAAAGTAGGAGGTAGCTTTGAAAATCAACCAGAAACCAGGAATGCACCTCTCTCCCATTTTAAAGTTTCTCAGGATTTGATTAAGGAGAATAAAATTTCTCTCTTCTAGTCAGGAGTAATCTGGCCACACATTTCTGTGCAGAATC